GTGCCCTTGCCTGCGTTCAACTACGTAGTACCGCCGCCGAGTGTAGTCGTTGGTCGTCGCTGTCCGTTCCGTTGTTGCCACTTCACGCTCCAGCTATTCGTACGTCTAACAAGTGGATCCGGGCATGGACGCCCGTCGATGGACATCGGAACCAGAGCCACGTCGCCCCCGCGTAAGGAAGTACTACTGGGTTCGACCCGTGAGTGTCGTAGTAGCCGTACAATATTGTAGTCATTCTGTCCTCTATCGCAGTTTGACAGTTACATGAATCTATCGCTTTATTCTTTTTGTTGTGTGGCATGTCGTGTCGTAAGCGGTTCGCCCGCATCGTGCAATTTCTTTATTAACATGATTGATACGTTCATAGCGGATGCAATGCCCGTAGGCCGGGCCAACGGTTCATCGTAGGATGTAAGGTAGCGGGATAATAACGCCGTGGCATAGTCCTAGGCTATGCGATGCGTAGCGGGTTATGGCGTACCGCCAGTCGGGGCTGCTCAGGCCTATTAGGTGTCCGCGTGGCATAGTGGCGGGCAGCGAGCGCGGCGTAAGTCCCCGTAGCTACCCTCACGCCGACACCGACGCCGCTCCTTCGCCGGGTGAACCCCGATGCTTATGCGACTAGCGGGGAGCAAGGCGTCCGTGCCGGCGCGACAGAAAGCTTCATTCATTCAAAGGATCACCAGTTCAGAAGCAATTACCTTCTTCTAGCAGTAGGGCTACCGAACTCAGGCTATATGGAGCCAGGGTGGGGAGAGGAAAGCCCGCAACGTTTCTCCATACCACGGAAGGAGTATTGCGGCACAACACCGACATCATTGCTCAATTCAAAGGGCAACCGTCCGTTCGTAACTCAGCAAAGAAGGGGTCGTATTTCGGGTTTTGTGTTTTGGAGATGGTGACTTTGGGGTCACACTTGAGCATTAGGAAGTGCTTTGGGCATGGATGTTCTGCTGGAGTCGTGTTGCTGTTAAAGGGGTCGGTTCTTTCGTGGCAATTTTTTACATACTCAATGAAAACTTTGGAAGAAAAACTTCTCCCTCCTCTCGCTATGGCTCTTTTGTGTGGTAGTGTGCGGAGTTGGAGTATGCCAACTGATCTTGGAAACAAATACTGCTATAGAAGTAGCCATGGTGGTGATTGGGTGACCTCCCCTCACGAGCGGTGGTAAGGGATGGTGTCGAGAACGTTCAGGGAGTAGGGCCGTATAGAGACCTCTCGAAGGGGTCAGAGGTCGTAAAATTTTTAAACTTTTCGAATGGCACTGTCGACCCTTGCTCAACCTTTTGCTACGCTTCGGTGTGACGTCGCCTAGCACGCGCCGCGCGGGAGATTCCCTACAAGGTGCTTTTGAGCGTTCCTCTTTCTGAGAACGGCAGCACAAGTAACGTGATACTTCTTCATGAGGACAAATTATTGCTCCTACTGAAAAAAAGATCCCTGGATCCGGTCCTTGTTACTCACTACAGGAGTTCTCTCATTACCTGAGCAGGTTTACAGCTTCCGTTGATGGTGGAAAAATCAGGCACATCCGTGAACATGACCGTGCATTCGCTGTACTCTTCTGAAACAAGGTTGACGTAGAAACAGGAACTTTATGAGGTGGAAATCAAGCATTCGACTTCTAGAACTCACAAAATGGCACTACATATGTCCAAGTCAAAAAAAAAACAGCAATCGATTGCACTAGGTTGTCCCACAGTAAATCATTTTTATAAAATCAGAAAAAGAATTCTGCTAAAGTCTCAATGTTCAAATTTATAGTTATACACCCATTGAAAGAGAATTACCTGCTCTATGAAAACATTGTGCTTTTCCCACTAGACTCCCGTTGCACGGGTTTTTCATGTCTGGGCCTGGTGGAAAGGCTCTCCATTCAACGAAAAAATAGCCAAACCGACAATTAGCCCTAACTGTACTTTCCCCAAAAATAAATAAATTACCGGATGAACCCTATACTTACCAGCGAAAGCATTCATTTTTCCATTGGAACTGTCGATGTTGATGAGACGCAGATCGACAATGAGCTTCAAACGTGATTAGAATTGTGACCCTAAATCTACAAAATGAAACTGTCAATGGAACGTTCTGACCATTCACAGCTGCGCTAAATCAAGGCATAGCAATATGAATCTACGCTAAGCCATACAGACTTTCAAATTGCATGGAGTAGAGGTGCAACCTCGCTCTTCACCCGATAGGTCATAAGTTTTCTCCCTATTAAAGTGCAAATATCGAGAGCACTACCACTCTTGACGGCGACTTTGGAAGCCCGAAGGCTAGCACGTTTCATAGCCTGCGCGTGTTACTTAGCCAACTTTGACTGCTCACAAGTTCTTCGGCAGGTCCATTCTCCTGTCTTAGTTTTCATATTTGTGATCAGCGTTTGAAGCTCTATCGACATATCCGAGTATCAATTCAAATTCCATAGGAAGTTGAATGTCTTCCCAGGATAGCGCACGAGCCTCTCCTAAACATTTCTCGCCACAGGCCTTCTTCGAGAATTCGCGGTGCTCGCGTTCCACATTGATTGCTTTTCCACGAGAGCTCCACGGAGACTCGGCACGTGTCAGCAGCCATCTCTTGAACGTTGGCCCAGATCTTTTTACACGGCGAGCCATTTAGAAAAAAAAACTAGAGGAATGTTAATTAAGAACGAGTCATGAGTGATTTAGGAATGTATGCCTAGTTGATCTTCTCGAGAAAACTCTTTTTTCAAAGTAATGGTGTTATTTTCTGGACAGAACACCTTATCACGTAGACCTAAAAGTCAACCAGATTCAAAATGAATATAAAAACTAACAAATGTGTAAATAGGGCAGAAATTGTGCTAACCAACGGTATATCATTATATAATTATATTATACTATATTATAATATTTATATGTGGTGTTTCAGAGGAAGAATTTCAGTTTGAAAATCGTCATGGCTTATCGCTCCAAGGTTTTTTCTACAATATAATAGCGGAATGTTCAAGAGGAGCCATGAACAAGTAGATGGTACATCAATTGATTTATTTCTCTCTCAATGATCCCGAAGGAAAATAAAGTTAGAGCTAGTTGTCGGTTTGGTCAATTTTTGTCGGCTGGACCTCCCATTTCGCAGGCCTAAAATTTGAAAACCCTGGAACATAGATGGAAGAGAACATAGCATCTTTGTAGAGCAGACAATTCTCTTTCGAATGGTAGAAAACTTTCGTTCAAAAAAACGATACTACTTATGGGACAACCTATAATTATGGGACATATCATCCTATCTGTCAAGGCAAAAAACGTACGAGCAGGAATAGGCTTGCCAACGCGCAAGGATTCCGCGATCGCCGGCGGTACGAATTCATAGAGCAAGTGTTCCGTTCGTTCTTTTTTCTTCTCCAAATCTTCGGCCAAAGTTTTCAATTGGCGAACCGTTTCCTCCAATCGTTTGCTGAAATTGGGGTAAAATTAAGGCCCTACTCTCAACTCTAACGCTGAAGGCAAGTTCTGAGAAAGGATACTGAAGTAATCCCCTCAGTAGGTGGAATAGAGCTGTTTACGAATGTCGCCGATTTGCCCCTGATACGGCTCGGAGTGCAGCAGAGGTGTAGGGGTCTTATCAATGCTAAAGAATACCGGCCGTGGTCGGTAATTTTTGGAGGCAGCCGCTGTCCTCATCTTGTGTCCTCTCGTACGGCATGCACTCCCTCGCCTTCTGTCATCTCTGCTCGCTCTGAATCTCC